GTAACTTCAGCCAGTGTGGGAATTGAACACGCACCGTTGGTATCCCTCTGTGTATTGCAATCCAGTCAACTGAGCTAAGCAACCACCATTTCAGAGAGTTGAGGATTTTTTTTTCTCTTTTTAAGGATCGAGAATCTGTAGAATTATTTACTGGAGAGGGCTGTTAATGCTGGTTGTTATATTTGAGCCTAATAGGTTTTTAAGCAGTAAGGGAATCGAAGGTTTTCCGGAGAAGGCAGGACAGTGGAGTTGAGGATTGTCAGATCAACTAGGATCCCTTTTGAATGGTGGAGCAGATTCTTGGGCTGATTGGCCTCTTTCTACTTCTGTGTCTTATGGGCTTATGATGAATGTGTCTCCCAATTCCAATTTATTCTTTGCTAGAACCGCAAGTGTAGTGCTATTTGAGTTATGCTCTTAGGGCAAAATTCAGAAGCTCTGGATCCTTGGTATTACTTAAGAATCATTGAAGTTTTGTGGTGAAGGAGGTCAATCATGCCTGCACCAGCTCTCTAAATGAGCATTTTTATCTACCACTAATCTCTTGATTTTTTTTCTTTTCCTCCATACTGTTGTGCATTGTTATTACCCACATAACAGTCCAATGTGCTCTTAAATGTCTCAATTACACCTATGATCACCCCACTTCCAGGCTGTCTGCTATCTGCTCGTTCAAAGTGTTTATTTCCTCCCATCGCCCTTGAAATCACTTAACCTTTGCCCTCTTCCTTTTAGAAGCTCGAACAGCTTGTCTGTATGTACTCTATCCAGCCTGCTCTTGACTTTGAAAGCCTCTGCCAGATTTCTTGGTCTTCTCCAAGGAGACCCAACTTCTTAAATATGTCCTCATAACTGAGGTTTCTCATCTTTGGAATCTTGTAAATACAATCAATAACAATAACCTTCATTTATAAAACGTTAAATTAATAATCCTTTCTATGATTCCCAACACTGAGTGTAAGGAACAGAATTTATTCGTACTGTTCAGGTGATCAGTCCACACAGTAAGTGATATGCCTGAGGGGGCTGTGTCTCTATCAAGAATCCTAACCCTGGATATAACTTGTTCTGATGTGATAGTTACTTAATGTTCAACAAATTCTTTTCTGCAACAAGTCACCCTTCTAACAGCTTCCAGATTTCATGGTTTAGCTAATGCTGAAAAGCTTATTTACACAAATTCTAATAAAACATACATTCAATATCATGATTGATCCCTCAGCTTATTTGTTAGACAAATCACTAAATTTGTGCATTAATCATTGCTGGTCAGTGTTGTCCAACTTGCACATTTCCTTGAACGGGTATTCCTTTAAGATGTTAAAACATCCAGAACAAACATCCAGAATCTACTATTCTTTCTGTCCTGTTATCTATTAAGCAGCCTATTACTCCATTCTGCCTTTGGTTTTCAGCAGTACGTTCCATGAGCAGTCATAGTTCAGCAGTTCGGTTTAATTCTGAACTCTCCAACTTAATTCCCTCAACCTTTCTCTTAACAAAGAATGAATATTCAAGGTGTCACAGGCATAATCGTAGAAAACGTGGATATTGATGGAAAAAGAAGGATAATTTGAGATTGGTTTCCAATAGTTTGGTCAAGGTTGTGGGTTTGAAGAGGTGAGGTTTGAAGATTTAACGGAAGGCATTCCTGAACTTGGGCCTTGTGAAGGCTGAAGACTTGACTGCCAACTGCAGGTAAGGTGGTAATGCAGTAAATCTGAGAGAGGATGGAAAGTTGGGAAGCTGTTGGAGATTTGGCCTTTAAAACAAGGATAAGCATTGTAAATTAGACGCATTGGACTGAGCAATGTGTAATTCAGCAATTGTAATAACAATAGGAACTTTATGCAGAATACAGTGCTCGCAGCAGAAGTTCCTAGTGGAATGTGGGGAATCGGCTTAGGCCTTCAAGCAGATGAAGAAAGCGACAGGTTTAGGTTTTTGCAGCAGATAAACTGAGATGGGTCAGAGCTAGGAAATCTTTGCTTTAGACACTGGAATCAGAAGCTGAACTATAATGGGATGCAGAGATTGTCAACAATCTAATTTTCATGTGAAAGCACAGTAGAAAGGAGCAGAGTTGTGGGGCAGGGTATCAGTATTAAGGATAGAGAATTTGTGGCTGGTGCAGAAGGTGTTGACTACAGTTTTCCTGATGATTAACTGGAACAAATTGCAGCTTGTCAAAGACTGGAAATTGGTAAACAGTCTTATAACAGAGGTAGTGGAGTGGCAAGAGGACTTGAAGATACAATTATCTTTAGCAGTACCTCCCTCTCCAGTTTGGTTTTGTAGATGGCTGATAAGTCCGGTATGTTTTCTGCAGATGCTACTATATGTAGAATACAATACTTGTAGGGTTGAATAGGTGTGTTGTGTGGTCTTTCCAAACCCTCAACTTTGGCTCTTGTTTCTGACTAACTACGTTTGGCACCTGGCTAAATGAACCTTTGTTTTTGTTGGTTAGTCACAAGCCACGACTTCTGTGGTTTGGTGGTTATGCTGATGATTTCAGGGATGCTTTGAAAATGTCACCAAAGTGTTTGCGCTGCCTAAATCCAGACCAACAGCCATATGCTTAACTGCCCTCTGGGCAATTAGGGACAGAGTGGAAATGCAGGCTTGACCAGCAACGCACATGTCCTACAAACAAAAAGTCATCTTGCCCTTACTCTATCACGGGCTGTCTCTCTTTCCCTCATGGGATCCAGAGTCCCAGTGGTGGATCATCATGCGGGAGCATCTGGGTTTTGCAGATTCTGGCAATTGAAGCACTTAAGTGTCCAGCATCCTGTGGGCTAGGAGGAGCTGCTGCATGTCAGGTTGGCTCCTGTGGCTGATGGAAGCCCCTTTTGTTGGGGGTTTGGGGTGGAGGATGCTGTTGAACAGCTGTGGCATAGTTGGGGACATGCTACTTCTGGTGGCTGGGAGTTTCCTGGTGCAGACCTTGGGCAGACTTCCTGCTTTTATCCTATGTGGTTATAATTTTATTGATTTCTTGTAGGTTATCCCTCATTCTTCTGAACTGCAGTGAATCTAGTCCTAACCAATCCAGTCTGAATTTGGAAGTCAGTCCTGCCATGCCATGAATCAGTCTGGTAAATCTTTGCATTCCTTCCATAGGCACAACATGCCTTCTCAGATGTGGAGACCAAGACTGCACTCAGTACTCCAGATGTGGTCTGAAGGCCAATTTATCATTTGCCACCTTTACTGCCTACTGCATGAACATGGTTTAAGCCACTGCTGGGGGTTCGGGCAGCACTGTGGTGCAGTGGTTAGCACCGCTGTCTCTCAACGCCAGGGACCCAGGTTCCATTCCACCTGGGATGACTCTGTGTGGAGTTTGCATGTTCTCCCCGTATCTGCGTGGGTTTCCTCCACGTGCTCCGATTTCCTCCCACAGTCCAAAGACGTGCAGGCTAGGTAGATTGGCCATGCTAAATTGCCCATAGTGTCCAGGGATGTGTAGATTAGGTGGGTTATAGGGGGATGGGTCTGGGTGGGATGCTCTGAGGGTCGGTGTGGACTTGTTGGGCCAAAGGGCCTGTTTCCACACTAGGGATTCAATGATTCTATGGTTTGCAAGGATACCCAGGTCCCATTGTAGCTCCCACTTTTCCAATCTGTCACCATTTATGTAATGATCTGGCTTCTGGTTTTTGCTACGTAAGTGGATGACCTCACATTTATCCACATTGTACTTGATCTGCCATGCATTTACCTCTTTGCTCAACTTGTTCAAATCACACAGAAGCAGTTCGGCATCCTCCTCACAGCTCACCCTCCTACCTCGCTTTGTGTCATTTACAAACTTGGAGAAATTATATTTTGTTTCCTCATTCAAGTCATTAATATTTATTGAGCTCAACTTGCTGTTATTTTCCCAGCAAATGGACCACTGTAATATACATAAAATAAGGTCAGTGTTTAGCTATTTCCTTCCAGAAGCCTGAGAATTTTGTGCAGCATTACTTTTTACTTGAATTGCATCTAACTCTTATTGTTGAAAAGTCAAAATGTTTCCACAAATGAATGAAAATCAAATTAATCTTTCTTGAACTTAGAACAAATGTCCTGTTCATTTGACAGCACTTATGCAGAATTAGAAAGAGCTGAAATATGATTTATACATTTTTGCATATTTCATGAGTATTGCCTTTAGTTTTTATTGGATTATAATGCTGACAGGCAATATGCCTACATAATATGCCATTGAAAATATTTCATCCAAAAACGCAGCCATGTAAGTTGATGATAACAGTAAGTTTGACCTCTCCTGTAACCCTCATCTCTTCGCTTTCTCTAAACTATCTTGTCTGACATGAGGCACTAGGTGGTAAGAAATTTCTTCAAATTAAATCCTGAGAAGACAGAAACCACTGTCCTTAGTCCCTTGCTCAAACTCTTGTTTCATCTGTCTGAGCATGAAGCAGATTATTCACAACTTTGCTGCTGACCACAAGATGAGTTTGGTGTTAGTATGACCATCTACTTCCAGCTGTGCTAATTATCCAATTATACCCTGCCTCATCTGCTCCTGAAACCCTTAAACATGCTTATGTTCAAATATTTCTTTGTGGCTTGGTGTTAAAGTTTATTTATTTTTAAAACATGTTAAGATCTTTTATCATAGAATCCCTACAATGTGGAAGCAGGCCATTTGCCCATTGTGTCCACAATGACACTCTGAAGAGCATCCCACCCAGACCCATTCCTCTACCTTATCCCAATATCCCTGCATTTCCCATGGCTGACCCACCTAGCCTGCACATCCCTGGACACTATGGACAATTTAGCATGGCTATTCCACCTAATCTGCACAATTTTGGACTGTGGGAGGAAGCCGGAGCACCTGGAGGAAACTTATGCAGACATCTTATTACATGAAGATGTTTTAGGTTAATGATTTATACATAAAAGAGGCTGTTTATTTGCTTTTTTATCGTCACTTAATTTCAGTTAGCCTAAATTAGTTTTATTTGTTTATAAACTAGTGTGACTCTGGTGCTGAAGGGGATGGAATGACACACAGAAGGAAGAAAAGAAGAACTTGCAATATGATGGAAGATGGGAGTTCTCAATCTCGCGATGACTGTGTGAGCAAAGAACGCAGCTCGTCTAGGTGACAAAGACTGGAAGATAACAGCAATGCATCGTAAGATAAATTTCAAAAGCTGCAGTAGAAGATGAAAAACAATTGCAGTCAAAGACTCCATTTTAAATTCTGAATTATTTCATTCTTCTGTTGCTTGTAGCTATCTTATTTACCTCCTTGGTAGAAATTGTAATTCCAGACAAAAATATGTCATGGACAGCCATTTAAGAACATACACTGTTTAAAAATTGATTTTTTTTTTAGATCAGATTATCTAGTGTTGGAAAGATATTTTTATAAACCTATCCCTAAATTAATAATAGTGAGCTGAAGACAATTATTAGTCAGTGTTGGTGCAGATATATTGGATACCCTTTATTACAATTGATCACTATTTCTGTTCAAGTTCTGCTTGAACTAAATAAAAATGAACACTGAATAAATCTGTTATCTTGATGTTCCCAATTTACAAATCATTATTTCTTATTTTTCACAACTGAATTCAAATGCCTTTCAAAAGTTTACTTATACTGCAACTGTCAATTGTAGCCCAGTTTGTAGCATTCTTGTCTGAGCCACAAGATTATGGGTTCAAGCTAAATTCTAGAACTTGAACACAAAAGTCAATGCTGATGGTGTGTTTCTTACGGAGTGCTGAGGGAGATCTGCAGCAGATTGGGCCTGATGTCGTCTTTCAACAAGACAATCTGCCTTCAGGTTGTTGCAAATCGCAGGTTGACAACTCCCTCTGAGAGCTAAAACCGAAACGCCCAAAGAGGAGCACCTCACCCTATAATCTGTAAAAGGAGTGTGAAAAGTGGTGTAGCCTGCCTTTCAGCAACTTCTAGTGGTTAAATAAAACAAATCCCTGACACTCCCTTTAAAAGCAACAAGTAACAATTTATTTATCTAACTTGAACAGTGAATGAATTAACCAAACTAGTAACAAACGGAATAAATCTCTAAGTATTCCCAAATAAAGCAAGATTCTAAGTCCCACTGATATAAACCAAAATAGAATTTAGTCTGTTGAAATTACAGCCAGATTGCACGTCTTCCGGAATGTTCTGTGCCTTCTCCGTCGATTCTTCTGTCAGGAGTATTAACTCATTGTGCTGGGTTACTGTTATTTAGGTGGTACTTTCTCTAAGACATAGGCTGTGAGAGCCAGCGATTCTCTTGAGAGCTGAGGGCCGTTAGCTCTGCTTAATTTGTCCAAAGTAATTGATCAGCCGTAACAGTGCGTTGGGATGCTTAGTGATCATGCAAAGCGCTGCATAATACAACTCTCATAAACTGAAACAAAATTAATTCTTGGTCTGCATTTATTATTCTTCAAGCCAATATTCCAATTATTGGTGTTCTCATCTGACATTTTTGACATCTTTCATAAGAGATGTGTACACAATGTGCAAATGGGATAATATGTTGCCAGAAAGAAATTAGTTTTCTCAGATTCTTAAATTTAAACAAAACTACATTATCTCTTCATAATGAATAACTGATAGAAAAGTCTGATCAAGTTCAGTTAAACATTAAATGTTACTTTAACTTCTATGAAATACCTATTAGAACACTATAAATGAGCTGCTCTTCGTACCATTCAGAGGTGTTTAGATGGTATGTGCAAATTCCTGAAAATGAGTTTTGCACCCATTGCTGATGAGTGACATGACTGCAGTGTAGCATTAAGGGAAAAAGCAGATATATGGTAACACAGTTAACTTGGTGTATCTACAATTCAGAGGTCTTGTTGAATGAGATGTGTCATGAAGTCAAATTCCACCATGGAAGATGAAGAATTTCAATTTACTTAAACAAATGTGGAATAAAATGTTTGTATCTGTATATGTGACACAACACTGGATTGTGCTTAAAAATTCATCCAGCTCATTGAAAATGCTGTGGAGATGTCATTTTATAAGATTATTCACTGGGTACAGAACACTTTCGAAAGCAAACAGCGCTGGCTTAAAGCAGTTAAAACATTGTTTTTGGGGGTTGCAAGCTGGGTTTTTGGACCTGGAAAATCACCAAGATGCCAGATCTGACAGCAGGGTAGGGTGGAGGGAATCTGTGATAACAAGGGCAGGGTACTGGAGAGTGAGGAGTTTGCATTGCTGTGGGAGCAGAGAAAGGGAATGGGGAGGTGTAGTTAGAAGTTGTATAATAGGGAATCAAAAATTATGACCCAACCAGATATTGTTTCTTGGGACAAGATTGAGGCCTACAGGCTGGGGGAGTTATGGCCAAGCTCACTATTAACCAAGTTGCAGCGGTTTTGGCACTTGAGCTCCGTGGCAACTATTGCTGCCTCAAAACATGCAACTGCAAAGTTTTGGCTGGTAACTCCATTAGGTGTCATCGACAGTTTAGGAAGCCCTGCTGTGGGGTTCTGAGAAATCACATGTCCTAGCTTCTGGTTGTGAGAAAGATCATGCTTTTTCTTAGAACAACTAATTGGAGCAGTTGTCACGAGAGAAAAGGCAAAAGCCTTGACTGCTTGTCTTTTAAACCTCTCTTCAAATCTGAGCTGTTTGTGATTTGAAGGCACATCACAAAACCTCACTTCTGCAAACACAAGTTTTTCAGGGAGTATTTTGAATCAATACCACAGTCTGTTACCTTAGCCATAACTGCAGTGACTACTCCAATGAGAAACTTCTGTGAAATGTTGTCCTTCAATTGTCAGCAAGTCTCTGAACAATCTGCTTTCTTTTTGTTTGTTTTCTAACTTGTCCAAGATTACAGATCCAATACTCCACAGAATCTTAGTGTCCAATTCTGTTCCCCCCACTTGGAGTGGCGGATAATGGAATTTGACATATTTTAAACCTACATCTGTATATTTGAGCAATAAGATTTGCTGTTACTAGTTAACTTCAGGAACCTGGCTGGCTTGATTTTTTTTTTCAAATAAGCTGGACACCGTAAAGTGTGTATTCATTGAGTTGGCAATTAAACCTTTCTTTTAATTCATACACTGTTACAACCACTTCAGAAGTAGGATAAAGAGAGGTGTAATTTCACCCCTGAGTCAGTGGTGATGATGAACCACATGGAAGCAAAAGCTCTGAGACTGAAGATTTGAATGAAAATGCATCCTTACAGTGGTCCCCTGAACTACCCTCTGTGTCCAAAATAAGTTACAAAAAACACTACCCAAAATTCCTGGTGGACATCAATCACTAATATTGAAGTGTTAACCTTTGTCTTTATTGTAGATATTTTTAACCTGCTCAGATGTGTTATTACACAACTCAAGTGGGACTTGAACTTAGATCTTCAGGCTTAAAGGTAGGGAGATTATCACTGTGCCAC